AGCCGCTCTGTGGGAGAAAGATGAGGCTTTCTACTCCTGTAAAGATTTACACCCTCGGAAGCCCTGTACAGGGTCGCTATAGGTCGGAACCGACTCGACAGCACTTAACAACAACATAGAATACTGACAATTTTCTGGAATGCTAGAAGAATGAACCTATCTGTCTTGGAAGAAGTACAGACGGCTTGCTCCTTTGTCTCTTATACTTTCAACATGTTGTCGGGAAGGACCAGTTCTTAGAGCAAGACACCATGCTTGGTAAAGTGGAGGAACAGTGAGAAAGATAAAGACCCCTGATGAGATGAAGTGACACAGTTGTGGCAACATCAGGCTCAAATGTAACAATTGTGAGGACGGTGAAGGACTGGGCAGTGTGAGGACGGTGAAGGACTGGGCAGTGTTTCATTCCATTGTACATAGGGTTGCTAGAATTCAGAACCAACTCGACTGCACCTAACAACAACAACAACCCTGACATTTGCAATACTGTATTTATTGATGGTTACCTATTTATGTAGGAACTGTGGTAGCATAGTGGGTTATGAGCTGGGCTGATTATTACAAGGTTAGCAGTTCAAGTCTACCCATTGCTCCATGGGAGAAAGATGAGGTTTCCTGCTCCCATAAAGAGTTGCAGCCTTGGAAAACCTATACAGGGTTGCTATGAGTCAGAATTGACTCGATGGCACACAATTACCACCACCTCTTTATTTATGCTTTCTTTAATTACAGAATGCCACTGCTGACAAGAAATTTAGAGATCTTCCAACCCTTTTTTTTTGCAGAGGATGATAAATGTGTTCCAGAGTTGAAAAGTGACTTTCCCTAGGTTGCACAACTCATGAGGTGTGGAAGAAGAACCACAGACATCACCATGGTAGAATGAAAATGCTCTGCGATCAGGAGACATTGTCTCAAGTTTAGCTCCTGTCACTAAGCTAGCTAGCTGCTTGATCTTTCTCTGTCGTTATATGTTGTTGTTATTACTAAGTTCGGTTGAGTTGGTTCCCACTCATAGTGACCTTGTACAGGGTTTCCTAGGTGTGGCTGGTGGATTTGAGCCACCAACCTTGTGGCTAGCAGTCCAGTGCTTATCATGCAATGCTAACCAAGGACTCCTGGCATATAATAAGTGCTCAATAAATATTTGTTGAGGAATCTGAAAAACAACCGAATGTTTCACCTGGGAGTTTAATTTCTGCTTGAAAAGTGTTGGAGACCGTGTAGGCCTGGTCAGAAGTTCGAGGCCCTATAGGCCCGAGTGTTACAGGTCGCAGGCTCTGAGGAACAGATCTAGCCACTTGGCAGTTAATAGCAAATTGTTTTTCATCTTAGTGTTCAGTTATATTTATTAATTTCATACTTGGAGCCCTTGATATCCACAGATAAATGTGATATTTTCTTAAAGCCCAGACTGTAAAGGTTTCAAGGGTAAAGCCTTTCTCCAAAGGATTAACTAAAAATGGCTTAGCTACTTCCTGGGTCTTTGTTCTACAGACAAAAAAACCATCCTCCCCAATCCTTTTCCAGGTGCCCCCATTCACCTGGGCGTCTAGTGTCCTCCTGCAAACCTGGCTTAGGAAGTCAAAACAGCGGGACTCCGCCCAAGCCTTTTGTCCTTCCCTTTCACCTT